CTTTGCTCTTGGAGGCGGTCGAACTCTTGTCCTGACAGTACATGATTACTCATTCGCTCTCACGCACGGGACACATCACATATGGGCGGTGACGCACTCGGGTGCGCGCGTGTATGTATGCGTGCCTGCGTGTGCGGGCTTCGACGTCGTGTGTTTTTTTCGTCGGCCGATGCTCCTGCTCGTTGCACGGCAGGCGCGTGTTGTGTTGTCGGCCACCTCTCACGTCGCTCGTTCCGTCTCGCGCTTCGACGAGGCACGCACGGTCCCCGACGCGTCGGCTCGCGTCATGAAGAGAGAAAAAAGAACCGCCTCCGCACGCTCTCCCCGCGGACAACGACGACGACGACGACAGGGACGTCGACGATCGTCCTCGGGACGGTGCGGGCGTCACGGCACCGTTATCGAAAATTCACCACCGAGCCTCCTCGGTTCGCGAGCGTGGCAAGGTTCACGTCGATTCACTCGCTCACTCTATGTCTCTCTCTCTTTCTTTCTCTCTCTCTCTCTCTCTCTCGACCGAGATCACTACCGTCGGCCGATCCTCAACCCTCCCTGCTGCTCTGTCCTGCTGACGGTGGGTGCTCGCGCACGCCACCACTATCTTTGACAAATCATCCGCGATCGGCCGACCGTTCGACTCGACGAAACCTTATCTCGCTCTTGTCGCGGATACTGCCCGCACCACCACCGCGTACAAAAGTCGCGAACCAGCCGACTCTAGCCGTGATGCATGCAACGGAATCTAGAGCGACGACTCCGTTGTAGACAATTGCTCCGAAAAAGTGACAGGAACTATTTGGTCTGAAAATGGTATGAATGGCTAACCTGAGTGGTCGCGCTATATCGTTAACTACGAAATAAAGAGCGATGCAGTTTTACTAACGTTTTACATATTTTTTTAATATTTTTTTGTAGGGGAAGAGAAATACTTATATATATATGGTTTTAACGTAGCATATAAAGGATTCTTTCTAGCAAGAAAACACAAATAGATACAATATCACACAATTATATAGCTATTAAATAGAGAATTTTTAAAGGCCCTAAAATATTTCTATTTGACAGCTAATCATATGATTTTGTATTTATATGTTTCTTGCTGGAAAGCTCCCAAAGATATATGTCATATAATATATGACATATAACACGTGTCTATAGTTTTAAATTTCCTTCTGTCATTTTCTCTCTCCATAAACTATGCGAAATCGAATAGACGGGTTTTCAGTATCGAAATCTCGAAGATGATCGATATCGATAACATCGAGATATCGATGGCTCCCGATCTGCATCCTTGGCCATGTTCTCGCGCGTCGTCGCACGTGTAAGTGTTGGCCGTTGCCTTGTGAGTCAGCAAAAAGATAAGGGTGTCGATCCGTTGCAGCGGCTGTTGCAAGCGAGTATCATCGTCGGAAAGTGCGAGGCGCGTTACTATAACACGAGCGTATCCGCGTGCGAATCAAGTGCAACGATGTCGGGCGACGAGAAGAAGCCGTTTCGCCGTCTGCCGTTGTACGTGCGTCCCTATCACTACGATATCTCGTTGACGCCGAACCTGGTCACCTTCACCTTCGACGGCACCGAGAGCGTGCATCTCAACGTAAGCTCGCCGTTTGCGAATCACATTGGGCTAATCCCCGTAATTCGAATAAGAGAGAAAAAAAACTAACCAATAGACATAACCAAGAAACATCCGGTTCTATTTGAGTAGCGTTTGAGTTTCTATTTGATAAGCAAATATACCGCGCCCGCATCTTATCTCTTACATAGCTGCCGGCAATCGCGATTTAAATCCCACGGCAATTTGCTCGTTAATTTCGATGACGCTTGTTTTTTAGTCTATTTGCTGATATTATCTCTCTGTTTTTCTTGCGTCGACTTCTCTTACAAAGCGACTTTTTTTGATCGATAATTCGTTTTATTGAATTGCAGGTGGAATCTACAACTGATACCATTGTATTGAATTCCTTGGAAATTGATATTAAATGTGCAACTTTTAATGGAAATGATGGTAAGACCATTCCTGCCAACAAAATTGAACTGTCTGCGTCGGAAGAAACAGCGACATTGGTGTTTCCTGAAACCCTGCCACTTGGTAAAAGTGGATATTTGAATATAGATTTTGTAGGTGACATCAATGACAAAATGAAGGGCTTTTATAGGAGCAAATATACCAGGTAAAAATACACAGGTTAACAATGTGTAAAAGATTAGAAAATTGTGTTCAAATTTCTATTTGATTAGGAAAAAAAAGAATCTCTTTAATAATGCATCTTGGTCATCAATTTTATTACCTGAAAATTATATAACAGATGCATAAGTAAAGATAATGTTTAAACTAAGTATTTTATTCCTTCTAATGCAAGATGGTAATTGTGTTATAATTTATTTATGTTTTTGTATTGATGTGATAATTTTTCCCATGTTAGGACAATTTGTTTTTGAATCTTTCATATACATTTCACAATTCCATGTCTCAGAGATCTTATATATTGCATTACCAAATATAATGAGAATCCTTAAAATACAATGTAAAATTGTTCTGATTTCAGAGAGGATGGTACTATTGAACACGCAGCAGTTACCCAGTTTGAACCAACAGATGCTAGACGTTGCTTCCCATGTTGGGACGAACCAGCGCTCAAAGCTACATTTGACATTACACTAAAAGTACCAACCGGTCTTACAGCACTTTCTAATATGGTAAGCAGCATCTGCAATATCATTTGCTTTTTTTTTATTATTTTTTTCTTTTTATATTATGATTTATATTTGAAATTAATATTTTTTGATCATTGAAATATTGCTTTTAATATATCACATTTTGAATGGTATTAGTGTATGTATGGGTATATTTATATATATATTGTTTGTATTTTTATTTTCAGCCTGTGAAAAGCAAAGTTACAAATGACGAGTACGATATAGCGGCTTTCGAAAGAACGCCTATCATGTCAACATACTTAGTAGCCGTAGTAGTGGGTGAATTCGATTACATAGAGGATAAGTCTAGTGACGGTGTGTTAGTTCGAGTTTACGTACCCAAGTCCAAGAAGGAGCAGGGCCAGTTTGCGCTGGAAGTAGCCACCAAGGTATTGCCATATTACAAGACTTATTTTGGTATCGCGTATCCCTTGCCGAAAATCGATCTCATAGCGATCGCCGATTTTTCGTCCGGTGCTATGGAAAATTGGGGATTGGTTACATACCGCGAGACCTGTCTGCTCGTGGATCCACAAAACACATCGGCGGTGCGCAAGCAATGGATCGCGTTAGTAGTAGCACACGAATTGGCACATCAGTGGTTCGGTAATCTCGTAACGATGGAATGGTGGACGCATTTGTGGTTAAATGAAGGCTATGCGTCGTTCGTGGAATTTCTCTGTGTCGCGCATCTATTTCCAGAATATGACATCTGGACACAATTCGTGACAGATACGCACATTCGAGCGTTAGAACTGGACGCATTAAAGAATAGCCATCCGATCGAGGTACCGGTCGGTCATCCATCAGAGATTGATGAGATCTTTGATGACATATCGTATCACAAAGGCGCGTCCGTGATTCGTATGCTGCACGCGTATATAGGCGACGCTGACTTCAGGAAGGGCATGAATTTGTATCTGGAGAGACACAGTTACGCTAACGCGGAGACCGAGGATCTTTGGGCCGCGTTGGAAGAAGCCAGTAATAAAGCTGTGCGTAGAGTGATGTCTTCATGGACTAAAAGACAAGGTTTTCCCGTTGTCAAGGTCGACCATCGTCAAAAGGACGAGAACAGGATCCTGTCATTATCTCAGGAGAGATTTTTGGCTGACGGATCGGTGGACAACGACGTGGACAATACATGGCTCATACCGATAAGCGTGACCTCATCCGAAAATCCGAGCAAAGCAGTATTCGAAGGCATACTGGACGCAAAAACGAAAGAATTATTAATCAAAGATGTTCCCGAGAATACGTGGTTGAAAATCAATCCCGGTACGATTGGCTTCTACCGGACTCGTTATAGTCAATCTGCTCTGTCGCTTCTGTTACCGGCAATTAAAGATCACACATTACCTCCTCTAGATAGATTAGGTTTATTGGATGATCTCTTCGCAATGGTACAAGCGGGTCACGCGTCTACCGTGGAAGTGCTCGATCTTATGCAAGCGTTTTTACACGAGGACAATTATACCGTGTGGTCTACCATAGTAAACATCTTGAGCAAAATTAACATTCTCATCTCACACTTAGATTTTGAGGATTCTTTTAAAGCGTTTGGACGTAATCTATTTCGCGATGTGAATACCAGGTTAGGCTGGGATCTTAAACCAAACGAGAGTCATTTAAACACTTTACTTAGGTCTCTCGTGTTAGGTCGCATGGCGGCTTTAAATGATCCGGATACCATTGAAGAAGCGAAGAGAAGATTCGAGCTTCACGTGAACGGCGTCACGACGCTTGCTGCCGATTTGCGCAGTCCGGTTTATCGAGCTGTGCTCTCCGTAGGTGACGCCAATACTTACGAAACTATGATAAAACTGTACAAAGACGCTGATCTCCAGGAAGAGAAGGAGCGGATTCTGCGAGCTCTCGGTGCGATCAAGGACCAGGCACTGCTCAGGAAAGTCCTGGACTTTGCTATGAGCGAGGACGTCCGTGCTCAAGATACGGTATTCGCCATCATGTCCGTGGGTCTATCGTACAAGGGACGTCTTATGGCATGGAACTTTTTCAAGGAAAAGTGGAAGACCCTTCTAGATCGTTACGAAGGCGGTTTTCTGCTGGCGCGATTGGTAAAGTTCACCACAGAAAACTTCATCACCGAAGAGCAAGCCAAAGACGTAGAGAGTTTCTTCGAGAGTCATCCAACGCCGGGCACGGAAAGAACGGTGCAGCAGTGCGTGGAATCCATCAGACTGAATGCCGCGTGGCTCGCCCGAGACAAGAACTCGATCAAAGAATATCTTACCACTCAAGTCTAATATATAAAAGCTATTTTTATTTTTTTCTCTGTTACCTTAATTGAAAATCGGCATAATTTGAAACCGCGTGTGTGAATCGAATTGTATTATCGCTCTAGAGTCTTATGTCGATTGATACTGCCATATCAATTAGGCGCAGACTATCTCTATGTATGAATAATACATAAATAATCCAATGCAAATTATGTGTATGCACGCTCAATGAAAAACGCAGATTTATTTAATGTTGATTAAATATTTTGCTGAGTGAGCATAAGAGAATGAGGATGAGAGTATATCGTTTTGTACACATCTATTATATCTTACTGACGCGTTATTTTAACATGATTCAACATTTTACATCGTTCTTATAGCATTTAATTCTTAATTATTTCCTGGTATCATACATTTTGTCATTTCGAGTTTACTATTGAGAAGGAAAAATTTAAATATTTAGAAACCTCATTTTGATCACACTACATCATCACTATATGACAGATAAATTGAAAAACTTAAATATTGTATGTCAAAACTTTTGGTTCCCAGTGGCATACTCTGCAATAATATTTTAAACAAAACTTTGATGCGATACCAGTTAAAAGTTGATGTTCCGTTTGTTGTTCATACTACGTGATCCATTCGCGCGAAAATATGCTCCTATAGAGATTAATTCTGCTAACAATATTCGTCTTTAAGTGGCGTAAATGAGAACTTTACATGCAAATATGTTGTCTTTTTATGAAAGAAAATTACTGTTGAATCAATTAATAATTTAATTCGAGAAATACACATTTTTATCATTTAACGGATGTGACTTATATTGTTTTATAGGTATCATTCAATTCGTATAAAAAATATTAGCTATTTTGAAATCATTTCAAAGTAAGGATTCACAAGTTAGCGTCAATCACTGATTACAAAACATCATGGGAGAGATATATATTGAAAATTCTTAAACAATAGAAATCTAAAAGGAATATAATCCTAAAGAAATGTACCATTTTTTTTACAAGGGTGTATAACATCTAAAAAATTTTTTGTAATGTTGCAAATATATACGTCTGAAAGATTTTCAGAATTATAGAAACATTACAAAGAAGTTTTAATTTTTTTAGATATTTGTTAGATATTTCTCGTTTTTTTTTACACAGACATGTTTCTTAAACTTTCATATTTAACAGAACGATGCTTCAGCGCACCAGCTTTAAAATCCTTATAATATAAAATGTATTATGTAGTATGTAATTTCCAGTAATATGTACAAATTGCAGTCTATAATATAGACAGTTGATGATATGATTGTTTATTTGAAGTATTAATGTTGAATGCAGTTATATGTGCCATAATTATTTTAAACATTTTTCAACTAACTCCCTTGTACTCGTAGTAAAGAAAATGCTACTTATAATTTTGTCATTATAATCAAAACATTGGAAACTCTTAATCTAGATTCTTTTTCATCCTCCGATATAACCTTCTCAAAACTTTTACTCTAAAATTACCTGTAGTGTCTCGTGTTTTTCTGTATTTTTTCTATCGTGCTACACATTTGCAGAGAAATATCGAGTTTACAATTTGCTCAAATTTTATTAAGTTTTGAAATCACGTTGTAAAAGAGAATATGTGTAATTTTTTTCAGGATAACACAAGATATTAAATATTTTTTTATACATACACATATACATATTTTTTTTACATATAACATCATATACATACAATGTATATAATTTATATCTAAAAATATGATGATACATATATTTTTAGATATAAATTTAATCGTTCGAAATTTTTGTATGATAAATATTTTCTACGTGAAATTATTTTGAGGAATAAAAATGAAAGTGGACTCTTCCACACAAGATATTGCGACATTTTTCGTGTCGACTGTCATGGGATGCAATCCCCCTATAGTTGATGGCCGCACGTGCCGAGGAAAGAACGATCCCGGTAGTGAGTCAGCCTCCATTTCCATTATCAGTAAAGCATCAGCAGTCGCTACCGAATAGTCCACTACCTTTGTATCAAAAGAGGTTTTCATATATAAGAGAGAGATTTAACTTTATATATCACAAGTGATTATCTCTGAAATTGCATCAAAACGAAAAGTATTGTATATCTTGTTAAACATTTCTTATTTAAAGTGCATGGCACGATTATTTATTACACAGAAAATTTGATTACATCTATTTGGGGAGTAGTAACAAGCATTCGTTTACGAATGCCGACATGTAAAATTGATCTTTTTGTTACTATAAATACTATATTAGAGTGATAAGAATATAGATACAAGAATGAAAACTGAGCCAGTAATCATATCGACCCTGAAACATCATGATCAAATACTGTAACTTTTTCATCCTCTAGATTTTATATGTAATATCGATTTCACTTTTTCAAGATTTTAATATTTCTTTAATTTATCTAGAATAGATAAGAGAAAAAATTGCACATCTTGAAAGTAACATTTCTGAATGAAGGATTAATATACTTAAATGTTATTGATGGATGCTCTTAGAGGATTGTTCAAATTCTCCAAGGGGTAATAAATGCATCCCCTTGTTCGCTCGCTATCTCGCTCAAACGGGTGGATGAAAAGCGGGCACAGGAAGGAAAGGGGAAGAGGAAAAGAGAGAGAGAGAGAGAGAGAACGTCAAGAGACACGGGGTTGGAGTCGATTCCCGTGGGTATAGCCCGGATCGAGCGTTCCCAGGAACGCGCACGTGACCCGCCAGAAGACGATCAATACGAACTTTGCGAACTCCTACATCCCGCCGGAACGACGTGTCGCCCTTGTAGTACAGTCTGCACACACATCCTTTGCCTTCCGACGACACCGACGGCAAACGACCGCCGCCCCTCCTCGCACGTGTGCGTAGATTGTTGCGCACACGTGCGCCTATTTTGTCTCCCGCTCTCCCTCTGCCAATCTCCTCCTTCCGTTCCCGATATCGCTGAATCCCCGCGGATTTATGACCCTAGACGACGCAGAAAGCGCGACAATCAAGATTAAAAGGAAGAGGGATCTTAATTTAAAACTTATTCTATAAAATAAAAATATCTCAATTTTTGTTTATAGAGAAAAAAAATAATAAGTTTTTGCAATTACGTTTATATTGAAAATTGCGATATTTATGATTCGCGTAAGGTAATATCACGCACATTTATTAATTTTGAGTTACGTAACATTTCTCGTTTTTCAAATAATGACAAGTATATATGATGAACATCCTTTCATTTATATATTGGACATACTAATATATACAGAATATTCCAAAATATTTCAGGAAGAAATTGGAAATTTCTAACGTGAATATATATCGAGAGTGATCATGGATTTTTAGCCACTTGTTTATCTTTATAATTTTAGTATTTTCATTATCTAATACCACATAAAAATAAAGCTTTTACTGGATTACGAAATTGATTACTTCCTATTTAGTAGATTTATTTACATGTGTAAACGATTGATAGGATATATGTATATGTACGCGCAAAAATAACTTGTAGACACAGTTTTGTATTTATTTCGTGTGCGAGTGCAATTCGCCCGCGCATTAATGTATTCTTACAGCCTTTCAGTCTTCGCAAATATACACTATTTACGCGGATTGAGGAAGGGAAATTAGCTCTCTAAATTAGCGCATAAAGGACTATGTATATATATATATATATATATAACAACGATATAATAATCATACAATAATAAAAGATATCAGCGATATACGGTGAGAGCGTGAAATCTTAACAAGAAACGAAACTTGAGATTTAAAATCATTATATATAATTTAGGTGAAAATTCAATCTCTCGCACGCTTGACTCGCAAGTCGATCGTCACGCATAAACATTCGATTTCGAGATAAATCTCGCCTCGCTATCCGTAGATAGCGATTTTCCAAGAGAGGACCGTGCAAGAAAAGGCGATCGATCGGCGACCAGTTGGGCGGGGCGCTAAATGTAATGACTCGAACGATAGCAAACATTTTCGGAGAAAGAGCTCGGCGTCTCCATGCGATACTACGCGGTACATTACGATAATCGACGACGAATAAATTCCCTCTCCACCGGAGAACCCGATGACCTAAGTACTCCGATATATCTCGCCGAAAATGATACTACTAACCGGGAAAACGATCGCGCATTACCTATCACGATCCATCAATCGCAAAACGGAACTACGAAAGTGGATGTTCGATCTGCGAGATAACACGCGGTTGATGAAAAGAATGGAATGATAAAATTTCATACAGAGGAAAAATAAGAAAAAAGAGGAAAAGGGATTCGTACCCGGGTCCTTATACCGTGAAAGAGATCTCGTGAGGAATGCGCGATGTGAGTCTATGTACAAGTATATTTACAATTTCCCTTCGCGGGGGAAGGGAAGACCTTAAGAAATCGGGGGCGCGGGATGTTTTTCGCTTTTCTACTCAAAAACGTCCCTCTTAGTATTTTCTCTTCGGGTGCAGGCGCGCCATCGAAGGGTCTCCTGTTTCTCTCTTCCGGGAAGCGGCGGGGCTGGTGATTGACACCATCTCCCGCAACGTCAAGTCAGGTGTGGATCAGCGGGCGAGTTTCTTAGTCGACTTTATCGCGACGTCCGAACAAAACCCTTTCGGGGACGCGAGCGGGATGACTTGTCCGTCAGTCCACGAGAAGGATGACCTCGAGATGCGACCTGTACCTTAATTAGTCCGGTCGACAGGTCACCGTTCGGCGACCGTCGCGGTTGCGGACGTTGTCGACGTCGTTACGATAGACGTCGCAATGGTGGAGGCGGTTGTCGTGGCGGTCGTCGTGGTGGCGTTCAGCAGGGGTTGTCGCGACGATTGCGACGTCGTCGTCGCGTCTTGATGCGCGGCGTTCGTCTCTTCTAGGGCGGTCTGCAGGTCGCAGATGTACTCGATCACCCTCTGGATTACCTCGAGCTTTGACAGCTTCCGTTTGCGCGGCATGTCCGGCACGAGGGAGCGCAGCTTGGTCAGGTAAGCGGCCACCTCCTCGGCCTCGAGGTCGCGCCTGGTGCCGCCGATTCCCAAGCCGTTGTGCAGAACTCCGCGATGATCGGGGGGGACTCTGCCCCCCAATGGGCTCACCACCATCGCCTTCATGACTGGCAACGGCGATTCCAAGTTATGGCCACGGGCAACCGAGTCGATCAATTTGGCGTCCGCTCTTTCCTCTCGGGAGCACGCTGCGTGGTCGTACGACGATAGCGCGCGCGCGCACACACACATGCAACACGCACACACACACGCGTATGTATTTATCGATCTGTCGACAGCACAGAGGCGTAAATGAACGGACAGCGACAGATGGACGGAGTCTCTTGTCTCCGTCAAAAATTGTGAACAGTATCGTTTTCTTCTCGTCTCGTTGATCGAGTGCGAAATCTCGCGCACGCACTCACACACACGCGTGTATCACGAGCTTGTCTCACTGACCAGGCGCATCCTCGAGTTGGAGTAACGTGTCGGCGACGTGCGATGACAAAACTGGTCACCGATCACCGCGTACGAACGTAGACAGTAGAGACAATCGACCGATTGACAATAGCCGACTCTAGCCGACTCTCGAATGACGCACGAACGCTTGACGGATCGAAGCCGACTCGCCGACTGGCCTCCGCCCCTCACCTGCGTCTTTTTATAGCCTTGCCCCACCTCGCTCCCCGCGCGTACCCTCGAGACGCTTCCACCATTTGTACGGCGCAATCGCTGCCCGAGTGGAGTAGCGGCAGCTTTGAGTGTCACGCGAATTTTGTCGTGCCATTCATATTTTTTTTTTTTTCTTTCCATTAATTCGACGAATTTATTAATATTCTTTTCGATTTTCGTTTTAAAATATCTAGCAATAAAAAATCAACACGAACGCGTAAAAATGATCTCAATTGCAGTTTTATCAATTCAAGTGTTTAATATAATCAAAATCGAGAAAATAAGCATCCGACAATTTATCGAGAAAATAAACCGTAATTATATAAAAATTAAAATCGACGTAACTGTCTCATAATCCAAAATAGTATAAGATTGACGTGTCCTCGTTCAACGCGAATTGCGGAGGGAGAGAGAGAGGGGGGAAAATTTTGTTTCCGATTTTTCCTCTACGCGGATTCGAAGCTATCAGTAGTCGGGGGTGTTTGACGACTATGCGACTGGCGGCGTCGGTGGAACACGAAGGGAGTGTAAAAGGTGGGAGGGAAAGGGGGAATGCGAACCATTGTTGAACGTCCGGCGGCGCCAGCCACTAGCCATCACGGCTACCACCACCAACGAAAGAGGCACCGTCGTCACCACCAACACCGTAACAGGCGGCCGCCGACCACCATCGTCCGGAGCTCTATGTGCATCTGATGTGTATGTACGACGCGACGACGGTCGTTCGCTTATAACTCTGTGCACCATGATTCCGGCTGCAATTTTCTGCAGTCGGCGCGAACACACGTATTACGTTGCGCGAATAAATCTGCGCGCCCCTGTTTACAGTCTCGAGATCGCGATTACATTTATACACCGCGCGAGAAATCATTATTAAATGCTAGTCTATTTCGGAATATGTTTAGCATTTTTTTTTAGATATATATGTAAAGTATATAAATTTTACGCGTCCTCCGCGTTGTACATAATGCGACCGATGCGTTTATTTCATTTTGGAGAAAGAGACCATCAGAAGATTGAATCAGAAAGGAGTATTTAATCGATATAAAGACAACGGTATTTTTCAGGGTGTCTACTTCCTCCAGCGTTAAATAAATATAACATTTTTATAGTAATAACTTTTTTTCTAAAATGACTGATTAAATTGCTTTCTTTATGCAAAAATTGTTTCAGGTTCAATCTTTTCAGCGAATATTCTTCTCGAAACAGTGATATTTAAATCGCTCAGACTTTTATTTACAAAATGTTCCCTTTTTTAGTAGATTGAATTACTTTTCGCGGCAGCTTCGAGGAATCGTATCTTTATCTGGATAAAAATGTGTTTTGACAAAAATCGTCTCGATCTTCTCGAGCGAATATTCCACTCGAAACGACGGCGTCATGATTATACCGCGCTTGAATCATTCATTTATAAAAAAGGGCTTTATTTATAAAAGGTTCTTTCTTGCATGACCGACTCAACTGCTTTGCTTCGTGACAACTTTTTGAAGAGTTATTTACTTGTGAACCGCAAAAATTGTCTTGAACGGCTCAATCGCTCCAAGCGAATATGTACTCCGTTCCGAGGTGATTACGTCGTACTTTGTATCTTCCGTCTTGCTCTTGGTTTCGCGTGCTCGCACGTATACGCGTTCCGTGACTTTGTGCGGAGTCTCGTTACCGGTCGTTGAAGACAAGAACCCGCCCGATGTCCGGCGCTACTACGAGCTAAATAAAAAAGGAGAGGTAGCCGCCGCGCACACAAGATAAAAGAGAAGAGAGAGAGAGAGAGAGAAGGAGTCGGCCGGAATAGCGGCGACACGCTTCGTAGAATTTCCAGGCGACGCCGACACACACTCGTCCGAGGAAAAACGCGCGAGCGGCCTACGAAGCAATTGAGGGCAGCGGGGTGGACGCGCGGAATCATTGACAGCCGCTCGCGAGAGATTTATGCGTCGCAACCGAGCTCCGGCGAAGTTTCCGAATCGCGAGTCTCATATCGATGACACACGGCCATGAATAATGATCGAATCCTGGGATTAAACAGAAACTCTCTAAGATTCAAAGCGATGAGTGACAGATCGTCGAGTCATCTCTTTTTAAAAAAAAATGCGTCCGTCTGAAAATGTAAAGATACGCTTTTCACATTAATTTTCTTTTCTCAATTTTATCGTTTTTAATTATGCTTTTCTTTCCTTCCATCTGTGTTCGTTTCTCTTCGCTCTAAACTTTTAGATATCTATTTTATTTTAAAAGCAACTGAGACAATCAAACCAGTGATTTTTATGCTTGTTTTACGTAAAAATTTGCAATCGCACAGCAAGAACAGATTTATTCTTCTGATTTTAATATTTCGATATTTTAATCTGTGTGCGAATCTTTGTTTAACGATAACAGTATCAATATAATTGAAAATAATCGTTTATCTCACTTCTACATGATTTCTAATTGATATACACTAATTCAAAGAAAATCTATCAGACAAAGCGTGATATGTCTTTAATTAAAAGAATATCACTAAAAAAGTCTGACAACTTGTGCAATATTTTTCAGTATGATATATCCGATGCGTTCCTTTCTTGCAGTATTCGATAAGGATTGAAGAAAGACGAGCGCGCTCATTACTATCGGCGACATATCAATTTATTATTTGTCCAATATACGCGCGTGACTATCTCTATAATAGTAGTAAAAATACTAAAAATACGCGCGCGTAACGTTTTCGCAATTATTTTCCAGTTGGTTCGCTAATATACGCAACGTGTTCTTTTTTCGCGTCGCCGATAAAGATAAAAAAAGAGTCGAGTCATGCCCTATTGTCGGCGCGCAAAAAGATGATTGTTTACGGTTGTATTATCGCAACGATAGTTATTCAAATCAACAACGACGACATGTTCGTCGCGTAATTTTGCGACAACATAGTAGTTGTGTTGATGAGGTGTCTTTTTTTTCTTTTTTTCTGTTTTTTTTTTCTCTCTCTTTCTCTCTGTTGGATGAAGAGGAGAAACAATCCCATGGAATATTACAGGGAATAAAACCGAACGCGCGTGAGACGCCCGTGAGACTCGGCCGGGTAAGCACTTGTGCGGTTACATACCTGAGGCAACCGGATCTCATTGACTCCTTGACCCCCGTGTTTAAGAAATGGAGTTCCCTTGACCCGGGAATAAATAAATTGAGGGGAAACTGCCGCACATGCTATCGCTATAAACATATATGTATATATACATATAAATATATATACGCGAGAGAATTTACTGATACTTTTCATTGAGATCCCCTCGGTAACCATTCGATGTTACGGCTTTAGCACCGTATCACCGCCGTGAGACCGCTCAATTAGCGTCGGAATTGTTGGTTCGCCGCTGACGTAGCATCGCGAAGTGATTAACTCGATCATCCGCATTGTGTGAGTGTATCGGAATTTTTCCTTACACCTCGTTATTATCCGAGTCGACTCGTACGTATTCGAGTTCTTCGATTCAATATTTTCACCTGATTTCGGGCGAAAATATCTCGAGCCAGCATTCTGTATGAGAATAAGAAATGTCAGCATTATTCGAGTAAAAAAAAAGAAAACTCGGAAATTATATACAAATTTTGAATTACGTCTGTTTTTTTAAGCTATTCATATTATTTTATAAAATAATTTTGTGCGAGATGCTACTGTGATATGATATGATACGCGCGAATGCTTCTCGAGTGTTAATAGCGGTAGGCAATTTTGAAACCATTGGCTAAAAACCTCGAATTACACAAGACCATCCTCGAGAGTCCGATTAGTATATGAATCACGCGCGTGAGACGCCCGTGAGACTCGGCCGGGTAAGCACTTGTGCGGTTACATACCTGAGGCAACCGGATCTCATTGACTCCTTGACCCCCGTGTTTAAGAAATGGAGTTCCCTTGACCCGGGAATAAATAAATTGAGGGGAAACTGCCGCACATGCTATCGCTATAAACATATATGTATATATACATATAAATATATATATACGCGAGAGAATTTACTGATACTTTTCATTGAGATCCCCTCGGTAACCATTCGATGTTACGGCTTTAGCACCGTATCACCGCCGTGAGACCGCTCAATTAGCGTCGGAATTGTTGGTTCGCCGCTGACGTAGCATCGCGAAGTGATTAGCTCGATCATCCGCATTGTGTGAGTGTATCGGAATTTTTCCTTACACCTCGTTATTATCCGAGTCGACTCGTACGTATTCGAGTTCTTCGATTCAATATTTTCACCTGATTTCGGGCGAAAATATCTCGAGCCAGCATTCTGTATGAGAATAAGAAATGTCAGCATTATTCGAGTAAAAAAAAAGAAAACTCGGAAATTATATACAAATTTTGAATTACGTCTGTTTTTTTAAGCTATTCATATTATTTTATAAAATAATTTTGTGCGAGATGCTACTGTGATATGATATGATACGCGCGAATGCTTCTCGAGTGTTAATAGCGGTAGGCAATTTTGGAACCCCATTGGCTAAAAACCTCGAATTACACAAGACCATCCTCGAGAGTCCGATTAGTATATGAATCACCGAAGAGGAAGTGACTCGGCCAAATTGATCGCCTAGGTGTTGATCCGTTCTACTGTACTCACGTTGCACTTAAACGAATTCCACGCTTGTCCACAAGCGTTAAGCAGTTAAGACAGAAATCCTCATCGTCCGCGCGATAAGACGCGGTTTTAACGTTATCAGTGTACTCTTGGTTCGGATGTACCGAAAGGGTCTATCGAGAGAGATAACCAAGTCTCGATTATCCCGAGCTCGATTATCGACGTTCGGCATCGTATTCTTGAGTCACTTCCACGTATCTGATAAGCGTGATTATCACCGACAAAAGTCAATCTCGTGAGAAACCGATGCACGTTGAATTTATTCTCTCTATCGCGTTACGATAAATTCAATACATCATATTTATTCGAACGAATAAATATATTTTAATCATACAACTTTAATGTATAAAAATAGAGAGAGAAACTTTTATATATATACTTTAAAAAACCCTTGATTATCTTTCTTTATTAAAATATTATACTTTGATAAAAATCTTTCTATCAAGGGTTTCTACGAAACATGAAATTTGTATTTTATATCCTGAACTTCGATCCTCGTGATTAAAGTCTTAAACTCTGTAGGCAATAGTTCCTTACCAGTTACCCGTATCCTTCTCTATATACGATTAATACAGATATATCAATTCAAAACATAAAATTTACATCAAGTATAGAATCTTATTCGAGCTATATTCATAAAAAAAAAACTTGCAGTCGATTAAATAATCTAAAAATTACTGGTACATATCTATCGACATTTTCGTCAAGAAAAATAATATTTCCAATCCATCCAACTTTACGATCGCGTAATATCGCTAATGTCTAATCGAATGTCGGTAGGTTCCGGTGAACGCGCGGTGCCGAGAATTTTGTCGCGGGTGCGATTTGTTGTGGGAAAAGCGAGACGGGGGTACCTATAATTAGCGGCCGCCTCGCCCTGCGCCTTCTAGAAATCGGGCCGACGACGACGAGATATCGCGCGACCGGATTGGAAACCGCGGCGCGCATCTCCGTCTCCGCGCACAGCTGCCGCAACATGCAAGATGCAAAAGCGTCGGGAATGTATCCGAAGCGAGCGCCCGTAATCGTGCGCTTCCTGCTGCGTCGTATCCGTTGGCGAGATAGAGAGCGTGCTGCATAGGTGGTAGTAGACGCTCACCTCTCTTTCGCGCGTCCTCCGTACACTCTTACGAATAAATTTGCGGAGCGCCGCCGTGCGTACGTGCGTGCGTGCGTTGCGTAAAAAATCGCGCGCGGCCCGCGAGTTAACCCTTAGAATAACGTGGCTCGATTTAACCCGGCTGCGTTTTTACATATTAATTTGCTCGAGTATGATTGCGGAGATATCGGTTTGGGACACATCGGGATAAGATATGTACAGAGTCGATAGAATGACGTGTATGTACGCGCATTTGCATGCGAGAAATCGATAAATGACAAGAATTTTTTCAATAAAAAAATTAATTTACATTTTTAATTAATTAATTGGAATTTTTTAATTCTTTAAGTTTTTTTTTTTTTTTTTTTGACTCTTGGACCGATTTATATTTCAACTTGTATATCGATTTAAGTACGATATCGTAACCATTAGTACGAGCGTACGTAAACACATCGCTCACCGTATGGTCAAAACATGATTATCTCGATAAATCATTCGACTTAAATAAGATTAGATAAGTAGGAACAATTTTCAAGTTATGATGCAACCAGCTTCGTCGAGACAAAAGGAAGTTGAATAGCACTTCAACCGTGTACCAGATTAAAAAACGATACGCGATAATTCTGGTCCCAAGGTCTTTTTTAAGTACATGTTACGAAATACGTTCTCCTATAATAAAAATTTAATAATCCGTGTGCGCAACGAAACGATAACGAATATGAAATCCAACGGCGAGATGTCTAATTTTAATTTAGAAAAAAAAAGAAAGGGCATCGTCGCAATCTTCGTTATCAACGAGAGCCAAGGACAGGGAACAGGATTATTTATCGCGGTCGCTTCGAATCGGTGACGAGGTTCGGTTAGATGTACCCGTTCTCCTTCGGCGCGGATTTTTTTTCAATTTCGCCCAACTCGAGGAGGGAAGAGAAGTGGAAGGAAGACATGGGAGTGCCCCGTCGAAAATTATTCCGTGGAGTGTATCTTGGCATCCCATCCGATGATTGTGCGCCAGCGGCTAGAGTCGGTCGGTCGGTCGGTCTCTCTCCCGGAGTGCACGTGCGCCTTGCACGTGTTAGCTGTGGGGCGACTCTCCCGATCCCCCGGCTGCCTACAAGACTGTAACATCGTATCAGGAAGAGGTAGGGGCGGGGAGGGTGGGAAGGGGGAATGGAAGGGAGAGGTTTGCCATATAA